CCCTCCGATTCCCTCTTTCACTCGGTGAAGGAGGAGCGCGTCGTGCTATCCGTATATATACCGGGTAATGACGGTGCTCGGTATCCCGTGAAGAAAAGGAGGAACGTCCATTGGACAAGCGGGACTCGCTTCTGCATCGTGGATCCTGTTTTGTGTCTCGTGTAGGCTTGTTTGTTTTGCACGGGCTATCGAATGCACACAAAAGACCGCGCGCGCGCTCCTTCGCCCTCCGCCTCGTTCTCCATCACCTCCACCTCTGCATCCACCACTCTTGGTCCACTACGCAGATCCCAACCCTCGGCAATCTCTCGTCCTCTACCCTTCGCCTCCTCCTCTCCCCTCTCCCCAAGGGGTTCCTGCGCCGCAGTGGCCCGTCGCAAGAAAAGGGACCAAGGTGGTGTGCCATGAAGCAGGAATTTTTAGGGCTTTAACCGCCGCGTACTGAAACGTTTATCACGCTCGGAGTGACCAACACGGGAAAAATAATTCCGTTAGTGTAACTGAATTCTCCGTTGTCTGGGAGGAACACGGGCCAGATGAGGAACTCGAGAGAGACGTGCGCGCGTTTGAGAAGGGGCCGGGCACACACGCCGTGTCTCGTTTCGTTTTCAACCCCCGGTCCGTATATTAAAGAGGAGATACTTAAAATGTAAATATTATTGACGCGATATCTCGCGCGTGTAAGTCATGTTGTATATATATATATGTGTGTGTGTATGTGTATGTGTGTGTGTGTGTGTGTGTGTGTGTAAGCCGACGGAGCTGAAACTTTAGTGCCGGATATAACTTTCCGCCGTGAATAAATCTCAGTCCCGTCGTAACACTCGCTCGCGTAACACGTTACGCTGGAAATTTTCCATCTACTTACGTCCGAGAGAGAAAGAGAGAAAGAGAGAAAAGACGAAATAGGGAGCAAGCGGGGGCAAGGAGAGCCAGAGAGAGAAAAAGAGAGAAGTACGCGATCGGGCATGAACGACGCGCACCATGTATGGTCGCCCACGTAATTTTCTTTATTTCTCCCTTTAGGCGAATTTTGCAAAATCACGCGACCGTGCTGTAATGGCCCTTATGAACGGGCAAGCAGACGGGAGAGCAAACAAAGAGAGAGAGAACGAGCGAGCCTTATTGCAACGTCCACGGTGGCTTCGGAGCTGCGCGCGTAATGCGATCTCTCCTGGCCGCGCGGCTCTCGTTAGCGATCGATAATTATAAATAATTAGTGAGGCTAGGCGGTGTCTCTTTGGCGGTGGTGGCTCCGCAAGAGCGAGCGAGCAGACGACCGACCGACCGCGTGGATGCGCTTTATCTTGGAAAAAAGGCGCCATATGCGAGAAGCATTAACGATCTCCCCCACGTGCGGTGAAGCTGTTCGTTTTTTCAGCATCGGGGCGACCCCGGTTTAAAGTACATTTCCATTATCTTGCTCGTTGTAACTCGCTGTAAGCTCGTTGTAACTCCAACCTCGCCGGGAGTCTTGCTTGCCCGCTCGCTCTCGCTGAAAGGTGCAAACCCACCCCATCCGTTCAGCCGCCGCCAACAGCTCTCCGTTCTCGCGCTCCACCGAATATTCAAAGCAACCTAGCCGCGAGTTCCATTATGGATCTCGATGCATACGCATTGCAACACATCTTATAGCTTCTAACACTTGTTTCTAACAAGTGGTCTCCCAGCCAGAGACCTTCTAACGGCAAGGGGTCTTTCCTAACGCGCGCGGTGTCACATCGATCACGACGATTCGATCTCGCTATAGGGTAATGCTTCCTCTTGGAGCGATCGCTCGGCGATAATTTAATAATTCGTGGCCGTCGCGCCAGCACCGGAATTATGTAACGCCCTTGGTCTACAGCTGCTTCCTCCTGGCATATTTATGCGCCGTGTTCGACCGCGGTAAAAGGACACCGGCGGATCATTAATTCATTCTTAATTGCACGCGGGCTTCTTTCGCGGAAACCGAACGATCGAGGAAGCTACGCCCGCGAACAGCAACTCGTATCGAACTAAATTCAACGGAATAAGCCCAATCAAAGATACCTACTTTGTTGTGAACTGTTCTAATTGAAAGTGTTCACGCAAAGATCATATTACACGAGGAGAATATTATAGTTTCTTTTCTTTTTCTTATAGGAATCTCCTTCAATTTAACTACGTTTTTAAAGGACAAGCAAAAGAATAGACTGTAAGCAAGATCCATCTTGCTAATAAAAAAACATAACAAGCTTCAGTAAAATTCTCAAGCAGAGTGCGGCCAACTTTATGGCATTCGAAATCTTAAATTAATTTTTAACAAGATTATAGCTATTCATGAGTAGATTAAAGACATATAAGTATCAAGATAAGGCGCCTCATCATTTGGAAGAAAATGGCTGAGAAAGACACGTGTTCTGTCCAAATAAACAGGTATTATTAGAAAGAATCCTTGCAAGAAACGTACATAAAATGTTACAAGAAATGGCAGAGAGAGATAAAAGTCTTTATCAATAAAAAATAATACGAATTATAAATGCTAATAATATTTATCAATTTATTAAATTAGGATGACGTTATCAAGCTCTACAATTAATTTAATCGTCGATCGATTCCGTTTTAACTACCAGAATTAGCCAATGGCTGTTTGCTGGTCACGAGGGAATTAATCGACGATTAAGTTAATCGGGGAGCTAGTTGAAGTCCTCTAAATTAATAAATATTATTAGCATTCATAATCCGTATTATCTTATTGATGAATGCTTTCATTTCATTTCTTGCAATCTTTAATCAGTCGACTGTACACGTCTCATGAGATTGTAATTTCTACAATCCGCGATCCTCAATTTTCAGTATTAGTCTAATACGATTTTCACATGTATGATCCTTCCAAAATCTAGACAGAATCGTCTAGACATCTTTCAGACTCGAGTCTGAAAGATATCTTCGCCTCTTTGGATCTAGTTCGCGAAAATCAGTATCTATACATGTATATCACGCCATAGAATACACTTCGATCGCAAAACGCGGAATGTGCGGACGCATTTGAATACGCACCGGATGTCGGCGGTTATTCTTCAGTTCGAAGAGTTTCGCGTCGCAGCAACAGCCATGCTCGAAATTAATACCGCTAATGCCGACCAAAAATAATTTCACCTCCAGCCAAAGTAGGGGTAGAGAACAAGGGGGGAGGAATCTCTCTCTCCCTCTCTCTCTCTTTCTGTATATGTGTGTGTGCGTGAATAATGCATGAGGCGTGACGCGAAATCCGTGGACGCGATGTTGCAGCTGCAGCATATGGAGCGTACTTACGGCGGCCGTGTGCGGGTACGACGTCGCCAACCAGCTTCTCGTAGTTACGCGCTCGCTGCGGAGCGATACAATTGCAGCTGCGGCGCGCCGGTAGACGACGACGACGACGACGTGCACTCTCGACCACTCTCCTCAAAACGATCGCGCTCACTAATAGCAGCCCGACGCAATTAAAATTTCACGTCGGGCGGCACAGTACGTTTCCGCAATTCCGCTATTCCAAGCCGTGTACAGCCGGCGTGAGTGTGACACGGATTACCCGTGGATATCGCGCGACTAATCCGCGAACGATTTTATTCCGACTAGCTCGATATTCGAGGAGAACGGAATCGCCGGGAACGCGAAACTGACGACGACGGAACTTTCATCGCACTCAACGCTAAGAGAGAGAGAGAGAGAGAGAGAGAGAGAGAGAGAGAGAGAGAGAGAGAGAGAGAGAGAGACAGAGAAGTTCGTCAAAATGAAAAACTGAACGAGAAAAGATGGGTCGCTGACTCGTCATATCACAAAGGGTTAACGATCAACTTTTCAATACAGGTCCATTTACAATAGGATTGGCAGTAAATAGTAAAACGTATCCAGACAGCACAAATGTCCAAAATCGAGGCATAAGATGTCTTTAGAACGTTCTTAAGACAATACCTTATAAATTTGTCTTGAAGATGTCTTAAAGATGTTTTAAAAACGTCTTATGGCCCGATTTTGGACATTGTACTGTCTGGGTAAATAGTAAGCAAATTGATCAATTACAAGAGTAATCATAGTTGGTCAATTTTCTTACTGCCTACTGCTAATTCCATTGTAGATGAACTTTAATAGGTTAGATTTCGATCTCATGACATATTTAAACAGAGTTTATATTCACATGTTTAAAACACTATTAAAAAATCAGCTCTAAGTAAGTTGTAATAGTAGCTGACCTCAGCTCTTTAAAAAAATAATGTGACCGACTGTACATAATTTTGATCAAACTTTCAATGATGATTCATTGAAAATTGAAGCTCTTAATATGCAATTGAAATTAAATATACTTAAAGTCTATGAGAGTCTTTAATAGGACTTTTATCTGATCCTCTTATGGTCTACTGGCATACTAAATGTGGCTTCCACTCAGAAAAGCCATCAGGTGTCCAACCATCAGAGTGTCTTCTGACTTATAAAGAGTCTACTCAGAAGCAGCTTTCGTAAAAAAACATTTCTCTTCGTTTCTGCCAATAAGAAAAATGCGCCGAGAAGCGTCTAGGCTCATGACTAAGAGAGTCCACCCTATCACCTTCCTCTCCTTTCTCTCGAGGCTCACTTCCTTTTATTCGCCTCGCCGGTAAATTTACCTCGGCAGTTAATTCCATTGTAGCGTCCAGACCACAATACATTTTCGCGATAACGGCCGCGGCCGTTTTCGTTGGACCTTCTTGCATGAGACGCGAGATAAACTTATCGATGAGACAACACAACGGGCGCTGCCGTTGCTGTACTGAGAGAAAGAGAAGGAGAATGTGTGTGCGCCCGCGCGGGATTGTGTGTGTGTGTGTCTGAAAATGAAAGGGAGAACGAGCAACGAACGTGACGCGAGAGAGGATCGCGATATTGGGGCTAGGGTTTGTTATAGAGTCTCGCGAAAATATCGCCGCGAAGCGCAGCCGAGGGGCGCTCTGCGCCGCTTCGCCCTGACATTTCCGGAGTGTCTGCGGACGATTAACACGGATTACTCTGTTCCTGTTCAGGAGATCGACGCGTGCTGTGACCGCCCGGCGACCATCACGATGCCAGGAACGTGCTTGATGACCGATGCGGTCAGGGCCGCGGATAGTTAGTGATGAGGAGGAGCGAGTTATCGGCGTGCCGACGGCCCAGGTCACCAGTAACATGCCAGTCCTTGGTGCCACCAGCGCCGAGCCGACTCCACTTCGAGGACTTCTGATCGCCGCCGCCGTCCTATTGTCCCTGCCGCGTGTCTGCCGCTGCACGGATCCAGGTGAGTCCCCGAAGAAGCGCGCGCCAGTTCTCCCGTAACTCGCGCGTCACGGCGTTGCACGAGCAAGTTTTATGACTTCCGAAAAGTGCCGGCTGCCTGTCTCTCTCCCTTTTTCTCTCTTTTGTCTCTCTTCTGACTCGCTTCTCAACTTCTGTCAGTCTCTTGCAATCTTTCGCTGTTGTCCCAGAGCGCGCGTCGCCGCCGCCGCTCGTCTCGTTCAACGATTGAAAAATCTCATAGAACGCGTCCCACACGGAGACAACCGCGAGTTTCCCCCGCGGCGAAATGGCTTCTAGAGCACATATAAGCGCGCGGCCGATGGTATTCTTGTAATTCCGCGAGAACGCAGCTTCCATGGAGAGCTTTTTTAACGCGCGGAAATTAATTGGAGATTTATAGGTGTTCGCCGAATGTTCTCCATCCGCAAACTTTTCTCTCTTGCTTTAGGAGACCCGAAACATACGATTTTTGCAAGTACACGTGTAACTTCTGCAATTTCGAGTTTTTTTAATCAAAGTATAAAAACTCTGTGATTAAACATCGAGGATAGATAAAAGGAAGGTCTGCAGGAGCCGAACGTTGGAAAATTGTGAATGGAGAGGATGTCGGAATCTCATACATTACATTAACAAAGCAAAGAGAGAGAATACTTGCCACTTTATAATAATATTTAATAGATAATAACATGGTAATCGTAGTATTATTATTATTTTATAGTAATTACTACTTTATAGTATTTTATAGTATAGTAATAATAGTTAATATGTGAGATTCCAACATTCTCTCCATTTTTGCGCCCAATTGCCCAGTACTTGGCTCTTCCTTTATCTCTTCTTGATTTTCAATTTTTTTTAGTTTAATCAGAAATAAAATTTTGTTATCATGCAACCGTCTTAAATTTCGATCTTTTCGCGTCGAGCAATCGCCATCAACATACCGATCGATAGCGTTTTGTGTGTTTTTTGACGCTCGGGAGTGAGTCTCATGCGGAAATCGGCGTCGGGAGTGTCGAAAGTAGCGATGTGCAATCGTCGGGATGCATCGTAAGTACCTTATTAGGGAGTAATCTCCTCGTCTCTCGGTGCATTCAACCGGCATCTCTTGCACTTGTTGTTACCAACGACTCACTCAAATAGTATACGGAGAGGGAATATTATAGCTCCTCTTTCTCATATAAATTTTTTCAAATTTCACAATGTTTTTTTAATATACTGAGAAAAAAATTTACTAAATTTCTAAAAACGTTTGTTTGGATTGTACTGTGAAAATATTTGTTTAAATTAAGTAATTATTTTCTAAAATTAAATAAAGAAGTTTTAAATATAAATTTGTTTCTTTAATTTTAGAAAATAATTATTTAATTTAAACAAATGTCTTTTCACAGTACTACCCAAACAAATATTTTTTTTTAAATTTAGTAAATTTTTTTCTCAGTGTAATAAAAATGTCAGTTACAAATTTCTATATTAATTTTTATTGTAAAACTCCGTATAAAAGAGGAAGATAACTGAGTTTATTAGTCAGGAATTGAAAATTCGGTGATAATTATAAAGGGAAAGAGATAGACAGAGAGAGAGAGAGAGAGAGAGAGGGGGAGAAAAAAAGAGAGAAAACGACGCGAGAGAACGTTGGTTTACGCGACGTAACGTGCTGATAAAAAAATTCACGAGCGAGTTATCTCGCAAGGATCCTCCGAGCGAAGCACCGAGAGAAGAGCAAGAGGAGTGGAAGCAGAAGGAGGAGGAAGAGAGTGGAGGACGTCATGCGTACTAATTCTTTTTTTCTCTCCCTCTTTTCGTCGACATACGCCGAGGCGCGGCGCACACGGCGACGTGGTATCGTCTAACATACACCTGGCCTCCTCTCGCCGCGGCATTGTACCCTCGTAAATGAAATGTCAGCCGCACGATGAATTAACAATACTATCTAATAGCTGCTCAGACGCAGACGAGCGAGTGGCTCGCCGCCGTGCATTGTACCGATTCGTTCTGGCGTGTTGCGCCGCGCGCGCGCCTGCCGACTCTCAGCCGCTCTCGTTGTTTACCGCTCATCCGTTATGTTTTTATGCAAATTAATTGTTGTCCCTGAAGAAAGAGACGCTGACATTACCGTTAAACGACGAGATACGCGTGGATACCGCGGGCGAAATGGGCATGCGCGCGTACGTCATTTCGCTTTTTTTCTTCCCCCCTATCGTCCCTCCTTCCTCTACCCGCCTCGTATCGATAACGTCGAAACCGATTCTATTTATTTGCGCCAACTCGCGAAACGAGTCACGATTAAAGAGAATTTTTCGACGTCTTCTCTGACGTTATCTCTGACGCAAAAATGCGGGAGTGGTCGTACGAATTTAGACGAAATAAGGGAAAGGAAAAAGAATTCCCTATGTGTGGCGTTTTCAGTCGTACAAATTCGTCGAATATCAAGTTGCCGCGAAAGATTCGTTATCTTCCCGTAATTTCTCTGTCAAGAATTTTGCTATTAAATTCTCATGGAAGGTTTGGCTGTTAAAAGGAAAATAGGAAAACCTCGTTGGAAGTTTATATTGTGTAAGAGAAGAAATATATGAGTAATAAAAATTATTTATTTGTCAGTGCTATTAATATACTAACTTAAATCTAAATACGTTTACTTAAACAGCGTAAACAATTGCTTTCGTGAAAAGCTAAGATTTTAGGAAACAAATCCATTTTCTTACTTGAAACATATTATTATAAGTGAATATCTTATTAATATCCATCGAATATTGTTTATTTTTCAGACACTTTTCTCTCAGTGTAATGTCCGAGGCGATGTAGATCATTTATTCATAAAAATTGTTAATTCATTGGAACTGGATAATATTTCGTTAATAATTTTCTATCTTAATAATATAATTTTCTATCTTATGTAACAATCGCGACGAATCAAACATTACCAAACTGATCTTAGACGTCACGGCGATTTCGCAATTTCAACCTGTATTCAATGCGTGTGCGCATTTCTTCAATATTTGTACGTTAATCTACAATTGATATTTCCAATAGAAATAATTAATGCTTTCATAAATATTAATTATTAATTATTGTCCACCGTGTTCCGCGTCCGCGCGCGCGGACGCGCTTAAGCTGCACACGGAATCGGACTGTCAGACATGTCACAAATCATTGGAACCGTTCATTATCCCGCGCGTTGCGCGAAAACGCATCGCGCGTCTAGGATATCCCAATACGTCAGCTTGACTTATTGCTTTGGGACATAACACTAAAGCTCGGGTTCATAGCCGTTATCGTCGCGCATATTGGATATTCAATGCGCGGCGGCCGCGATACGCTCGTCCGCTCTCTCACATCATACATACAGGAGAGAAGAGAAGAGAGAGAGAGTTAGAGAGAATTAGAGAGAGAGAGAAAGAGAAGTAGTCAACGTATGACACACGCGGCCAACGAGCGGCTGCGAAGTGAGAGAAGAACGGTGAAAATTCGCGGCGCGAATTGCCGCGAAAAATGTGACTTTTCATGCGCGATTAATATTCCAGATTTCACGAGCGCGGGATAACAGGCGCGGGAAACGTTATCCCGATATCGCAAAGGGTTCGAAGTGCACGATGAATCATCCAGCGGATTGCATTTTTCGAATTTAGAAACGTCGAAAATTCTCTCTCTCTCTTCATTTTTTAAAAATTCTTTCTTTCATTTATTTTTTATATCTATTCTTTTTATTCTTGGTTTGCTGATGCTGCCTCTTTGCTAATCTAGGCAATATTAGAATGAGACTTGGGGAGGGAGGCGAGGAATAGAATTCGCTTCTGTTCTGATTTGTTTTCCTCTCCGTCTGCTTTTGCCTTGCGCTAATTGCTCTTTGTGCTTTAACTGAATGTAACCTTGCAATTGTCACTTTTGTTAAAATTAATTCCATGTACTAGGACGGTCATACAAATTGGCTGCTATGTATTAATTATTGCATACCTTAAGGGTACACACCAGGGCTTGAGATAAATCTACCTATCTCTCGTGCCGCTGCCGCGAGATAGCGTCGTTCATTTCTCTCGGCGTTTTATGCGCAAGATGTGAAAGCGGCGACTGTTTGACGACGGACGGCGAATTATTTCGGATAATTTTCGGAAACGCGAAACATCGGTGGCTCGGCGCCCGGGCCCGGCTAAATCCGGGTTAGTTCGATAATTACAGCACAGTTCATCTCGTTCGCAGTATGTCGCGCTAACGGCTGCGGCATAAAGGCGAATACTGGCTGCAAATACGATCGAAGTTGCGCGGCCGGGATATAGGGGCTATAACGTTTATTAGAGGATGATTTCGTACGCGTGTACTCGCGCACACGCATGCACGGGCACGAGATCAGGCGGGCGCACACCGTAATGTAGAAACGTAACGCTATTTCCTCCCAGCTTTACTTTCAAAGTCCGTTAGCGCGCGTTATCTGAACGTCGAATTTCGCCCGCCCGTCTCTCGGTCAGCATTGTTGCTATTTACGGACATGCCGCCTGGCCGTGCTTGTACTTGAGCTTATTAATACGTTAATTAATACGAAGACATATTAACAGAGTTGCGTTAAGAGCCTACGATAACGTCGATAATCTCTTGTGCTAAGAGCGGCTAAGCCGAAATTGTCATTCTTGACAATAATATCTTTTTTTTTGACAATATTTTCCGTGTATAACAACAACCACTACAAAAATCATTTTCTTGGCTATAATCATTTCACTGATTATTTATTTCATTAATTACAGTCACAACTACCAAACACTTTCCTTTTCTCCAAGCATGTATTCGAAGTTTGCCAAAGTTGGTATATCTCTTAGATTAATAGTAACGAGACAGTAAATAATTCATAGAGCCGATTTATTCATAGTAATTTAAACTTGAATTTAAATTCGAACTTTTCTAATAATGTGCGCGACGTGTTCAAATAAAGTTCGAACTTAAATCTAAATCCAAACCACTATTGAGAAGTCGGCGCGTAATATTCGTTATTTGAAGGATTGTTTGTTACTCAATTTC